GCTGCACCTGAAGACCTATTCTTTTTTTTTTTTTCTAATCGTCAAAACTTTAGTTGTAAAGAAGCTCATGAAGTCATCACTGCTGAGAGCTGTGACTCTTTGTCAGTCTGACTACAGTGCTGAAAAGAAACCTGAGATTGTTCTTGTTTTTATTGCTCTACGAAGAGCTTTTTATTTGTAACATCTTTCTACACTAAGTGATATCCTTAAGAATTTGTGGAACACCACTGCTTTTCCCGCCTTCAAGAAGCCTGCTTTATGATGTGAAATTGTAAATTATACCATGGAGTTACTGTTCTATGGTTCATTGCTTTCTTTTTGAGAGAAGTAGCAGTTTCAAGTGATATTCGCAGTAAGCCTGCAGTCCTATCAACAACATTATCCACCTGTGTGGGACTAATATTACAGTGGCTGCTGTCCATTGTTCTGGCACATGGTTTTGAAGTAAATAGTAAAGGAATAATTTCTGTAAATTTAGCTTCTGCATTAAGAGATAAAGGTCTACTATAATGGAACTTTTTGGTAAACATTACGTTATCTATCACTGTAAATTCATTGTTTATTTTATTTTTTTAATTGTAAGATAAAAGAGGGTTCTGCAGCAAAACAGTTGTTCAGTTTCTATGCCATATGTCAAAACAAGATTGAGAGCATGATTAAAACAGGGAGTTGGTTAATTTCATCTTGAGAAAAAACACCTGAATCTAACAACAAACTAAATGCAGAGTTGAGGCTGTCATTTTCATCATCTACATGGATATTAAAGTCACCCACTATAATGACTTTGACTTCACTGAGTGCTAAATCAGCTAAAAACTCTGAGAATTTAGATTAAAACTCAGAGTAAGGGCAGCTGGGCGATATGCAACAGCTTACAGAATTGGTTTTTGTGTTTTTCATTTTGAGTGTGACAGACTAACAGCAAGACTGGGTTACAACTAAGGCCACATTTACATGTAGCTGGGTATTTACAAAAAAAGAGCTACGTATTCAAAAATAACATTGTTTACACCAGACCGTTTTCAAAAAAGAATCTTTGTTTACATAAACACGTCTTTAAGAGCTGCTATGAGCATGCCAAACCTATAGGGGCAGTGTAACAAGAAGCATAAAGCCAATCAGAATCCTAAAAAAAAAACACAGCAAGGAATGGCACAAATTACTTTCTGTTACTTCAATGGCAGAGGGTCGTTTGTTTGGACCGACAGAGAAGCTCCTCCATAATAGAACATTTCTGAACGTGAATGCAAACAGGCCAAAAGCATTTGCTCAAAGGTAAAAACAAGCACTGCTTCAACAGCATCCATTTCTATCACAGTTGCCAAACTGTAAACACGGGTCACACACATATCAAATCAAGTTTAATGTAATTTTGCTGTACATGCAACAGTAGTACAAACAAGATGAGAGAGCATTTCTTCAGGATCCAAAAACTAAAGCAATTAAATAAAGAAGTGTTTGCATATCTGACAGTTGTTGAATGAAGCTGTTGAAGCTGTTGATCAGTGTGGAGGTTCATTCCTTCAGTGCTCCAGAAACGTTTGCCTGACGGCAGCAGTTCAAACAGTTCCAACAGAGTTCCTGACAATGTTCAGTGTCCTGCTCCTGCAGCGGCTCTGGAAAAGTTCAGAGCTAGCTGCCTGTCTGTCCCCCGGAACGATGTCATCCCCTCCAGCTGTATGGCCGTCTGGGAAGTTGTCATGGACCCATGTTTCTGTTAAAGCAAACATACAGCAGTCGGCGTAGTCTCCGATAGGGCTCCTTGTTGGTGTAGTATGCCCAAATCACAACCGAGTACCCCAATTTTAGCAACATTCATTGCCCTGATGTTCAGCAAAGTCTCACGGCTGTAAGTTTTGTGGAATGAACATCTGGGATAGACAAGACACTCAACACTTTAATTCTCGCTGTCTCCTGAAGAGGCCGCTGCGTCCATGCGTGCTGCCATCTCTATGGAAACTCTATGGAAATATGACTCTAATGACACTTTTGTCACATACTGTGACATCAAACCCCATCTCCTTCTGTCTACATGCAAACATAAATATGGAATTTTTTCAAATCTCCACTTTGGCCTTAGTTTTCAGAAATGATTGTTTTTGGTGACTCGTGGCTTCGTTTATGTGTAAACCAAAGGCCCAAACACATGAAATATTATCATTTTTGCTATGTGTAAACAGGGCCTAAGTTTTGGTCTTTGGTTGAACAATGATTTTGAGTGTAAGATTGTTGCCACTCCTCCCCCTCTACCTGTACTTCTAGGAATATGAATATTTATATGACTGGTGGAGACTGGTTCACTGAGACTGACATAGTCTTCATGTTGTTCAGGTTTCAGTGACACATAGCAAGTCAAAATAATGATCAATTATCAGATTTTTAACTAACAGTGCTCCTGCAGGAGATTGTATGTCAGAATGACCAGAAAAGTAAGCTCGCTTGCACACTGCAAAATGAGGCTGGATGTATTCTTCATTTCAATCCAGAAAAAAAAAAACTGAGGTTGTTATAGTTGGCCCTAAACGCCTCAGAAACACACCATCTAACCAGATAGTTACTCTGAATGGGATTGCCTTAGCCTCTAGTTCTACTGTAAGGAACCTTGAAGATCTTTTTAAACAGGATATGTTGTTCAGCACACATCTAAAGCAAGTTTGTAGGACAACATTGTTTAATTTGCGTAATATCATAAAAGTTAGGAACAGCCCGTCTCAGAGTGATGCTGCAAAACTAGTCCATGCATTTATAACTTCTAGGCTGGACTGCTGTAATTCCTTATTATCAGGTTGTCCCAGTTATTCTCAGAAAAACATCCAGCTGATCCAAAATGCTGCAGCCAGAGTTCTGACACCAACCAATAAGAAAGATGATATTTCTTCCGTATTAGCTTCACTTCGCTGCTTCACTGTGTTTCCATCAAGGTCCTGTGCAAGTTTTGATTGTTGCGTTCTCTGCTCAAAATTCATACGGTCTTCACCTTACTATGTTAAGCGCAATGAGATGACATATGTTGTGAAATGCATTATATCTATAAAATGTATTTAAATTGAATATAGTATGGGGCCTCTCTATGGAATTATATTTGTGCCACAATCCTGAGCACGTAAAGGGAAATTTTGAGCGCAGAAAACAATCTTGAGCAAATAAAAACTTAAAATGAGCAAATGAAAATCTATTCTGTGCTCAAAACTATCACTGCTGTGTTTGCAACTATCCACAAACATGCACAGTTTTGTCATTTACGCTCTCACAGATCTCCATTCTGTGCACTCAACTACATATTCACGCTTGCTCACGATGTCGTTCTCGCTCACGCACAACACTGATGATCTGTTCAAGCTCAACTCTGCGTGCATGTTCGCTCAACTCGATTGTGCCACAAAGCCACAGCCTTGCACAGGGTGACTGATGCTATCCAATCAGGATTTTTTTCTGTGCTCAAAATTTCCCTTTATGTGCTCAGGATTGTGGCACAAATATAATTCCATACCTCGCAGCTACAAGGTCCCTGGTTCGCGTCCCGGTGAGGACACACGGGATTTTTGCATCTTTGCGTGTTCTCCAGCTTCCTCCCACACAGTCCAAAAGGGGGTTAATGAGGTTAATTGGTGATTGTAAATTGTCCATAGGTGTGAATGTGAGTGTGCTTGGTTGTCTGTCTCTAAGTGTAGCCCTGCGATAGACTGGTGACCTGTCCAAGGTGTCCCCTGTCTTTGCCCTGAGTCGGCTGGGATAAGCTCCAGCTCCCCTGCGACCCCAGTGAGGATTAAGCGATGTATAGATAATGGATGGATGGATGGATGGATGAATGTAGTGTGATAGCTTGGTATTTCTTGCCATACTGCGTTTGATATACTATGTATTGGGACGTACTAAACTTTTTCTATTGAACTTTCTATAGAATGGTGGTGAGGATATTGGAACACTCTTCCCTCCTTACACAGCTGGACACAAAACATCTCCAACCATATCAGCCACAACATCTCCCAATCTTTTAAACTCTGTTAAGGTGTTAATTACTTCTGACTCCGCTTTTGATGCTTTTGAGTCTAAATCATTATGTGCAAGATAACTTAATAACTTGTCAGTGAAGGAGTGCAATTAGTGAGCTTGGAGCTAGTGTTTGTGCCAAAATAATCTGTTTTTTATAGTGTGTTGTGTTTAAGTTTATATAACTCACCAGTACATTTTCCGTTTTAGTTCAGATAATATATGGCTGTGCAGAAATGGAACTGATCCTGCGTATCATTAAATACAATTCAGAGTTAATTAGTTGCTGAAGCAGGCAGGTAGAGTGGAGTTTAACTGAAGCCAGTTACATCAACACAAAGTTTAGCATGCGCACATAAGAAAAAAAAAACAAAAAAGCAGCAGCTGCAGCATCTCTGGTTCTATCTGTGCCTGCATATCAAGTTGTGGGTCACCTACATTTTGAAAGCACTCAGAGTCAGTACACAATTGTTGCAGTTGCCGGAAAATACATATACATGGTAAAAATATGCTCTATGTTACTGGAAGCGCAAGTAAAATGTGAGCTGTTTTGCCAGTCTCATAGAGTTAATAGCATAACTGTAGAGTCTTGTTGAACACCTTAGGCAAATCCAAGCCAGCTGTTTCCCCCCTACCTCCTAAAACCATGACTTTAGCTCTGCCCTTTACATACAGAGATGTGATTGATATTAATCTTTTCATCTCAGGAAAATAAAGTGAATCAGCATATTCCATATATATATATACATATCCTAAAGCAATAACACTGGTTTGTCAATGTTGCAGCATGCTCCCATGCTTTAGCAAAAAAAAATTGAAAAAAAAAGAAAGATGAACATAATTTAATTTCATATTCAATTGTATGCAATTCAATATATATATACATATATATATAGTACCAAGCATATATATATATATAGTACCCAGCATATCTAAATATGCTGGGTACTTGGTATACTTGGTTCAGCCCTGGGGGTTACAGGAAGTTGTCGCTGCCATGTTTAGCTGCTTTGTTGTAGATTCCTTGTAGGTTTCCTGCAGATTTTAGCATAAGTGTTGCAATGGAACCGAGCTGGAGTACGTTTTTATTCCAAGTAAGTGGCACTATACAACGGTAGTCTTAGAAACTGCTGAAGCGTTTTTAAAATAGTGTAAATATTGTTACTCAAATATAATGTAGCACTTTATCAAACGAATCAGAGTTGGCCAAGCAAAACAAAGGTGTTAGCAATAGCTTGCTAGGTAGCTTCGCTGTCTGGGTTCCTGTAGCAAACTGCTAACCTGCTTTATCGAACCCGAGACCGCCGGCTCTGTCGGGTCTACAGATCTACAGAGACTTCACAGAGCCACTATCTTGGTGTCGGTTAAATAATCTTAAGTCTGTATTACATCACAGTGAAGGGTTTGTGTCAGTTGGCACGATAAGTGGCAGTGAAGCTAATTTTTGGCTCCATCGTTGTTGCTGCGCGCGCGCTAGCAAATTAGCTAGTAAGTCGAGCTTTTGCTGTTACATATAGGTATGCTATGGCAAGCTAATTGGCTAACAGGTTAGCTAACTAGTTACTTTTCTCGTCCGCGCCACAGCAATCATCGCTGCAGTGCAGATAACAGTAACAGGTAAGCAGTGCTTTACTGCGAGTACTAAACTCAACACTGTGGGTGAAGCAAAGGAGCTGCAGAGATTTTAAACCCTTTAACTGCCCGTTATCGACAAGTTTGCTAACGCTAACACTGTAAATAGGACGGTACCTAGCACGCGGACAGAAGCGATTAAACCACACTAATGCTACAAACTTTCCTCTTTTACCACAAATTTGTAGCTGCAGGTCGCAAACAAGAGTGGTAATGATGTAAAACTTCATTTATCGTGGACCTGACACTTCGTTACGCTAGCCTCAATGTAAATTGAAAACTAAGTGTGATCTTTTGTTTTGCAAAGCACAGTATAGCATAGCATAGTTTTCAAAATCACTGGAAGCCACCATCAGTTTGACTGCATACTTTAAACAAACGTTAAGTGAAATGTTACAGATATGCTCCCGCATTGCAATGTGTATGCAAAAGCTGTGTGAAGTGTTTTAAGAATATAAAGAGGTGGTGAAGTGTTGATTTACTAAACTATGTGCAGAGTCAAACGACTTCCAAGTATTTCAAAATTTGGCAACGTGAAGTACATCTTACTTTATTGACCATTTGCTTTAATAACGTTTTGGTAGAATTGCTGCTTTTGCCATACACTAGCTGGTTGTGTGACTTAAGTTTATACAAACTGTCTAGTTGCATATTGACAATGGAGTATAACTTGTTAAATTTAAGGCTTTTGAGCAGTCCACATGTGTCTCCTATTCTGTCACAAACTGGGAAATTTGTTTCCAATATAACTAGTTAATTCATGTATTGCATAGTACTGTACAAATTTAACACATTTTTCCAGTACTGAATGCAAAATTGTATGAAAGTGATTGAATTTCCCTTGAAAATGTAGTAGTAAGAATACTACTTCCTGATGTGTAAGAAATTAAATAGATGATATTTATGGATTTACTTTAATTGGAAGCATTAATATTAACATGGAGTATGTCATCTCAATATTAGTATGTTGGTAGGTTATGTCAGGTCCTTTGGATGTACAATGTTGTGTATTGTTCTTGATAAATCAACTTCTTTAAAATCTTGTAAGATCCAGAATACTGCAATCCTCATTGTGCTTTCATTACACCTCTGTGTAAAGTATAACTGCGCCATACCCAGAAATTTAACTTCACGTTGTGGTAATGCAAGCTGCAACAACTGTGATTGGTCCACTGTGTAGCAGTATGCCATGTGAATATGGTATATTGATTTGTGCAAAAATAATGCTTAAGTGGAGCAATATGTAATAGGCTGTAACAGGATCTGGCTTACTCATAATGCAAATGTAAGTGAGTATCGTGCCAGTGTGGCTAGATGTAATTTTCCAGGATTCTGCATCATAATTAATATTCTTGAATTTATCTACCTACTTGTACAAAACATACCACCTAGAAAAACTTCAGTGGTGGCTTAACAGGGCGGAATGTAAAGCTGTGTGATTAGGGTAGTGCTCTTTAGAAGACGTAAGTTACTTCTTCCCTGAAGTTGATTCATACACAGTCTTTAGCCGGACCTTGGTTTCAGATATGACTCAGGTTTTAGTAGTTTTTTTTGTACTGATTGATTTATTTATTACAACTAGTGAAATAACTTGGTCATCTAAGCCTGATTACATCAAGGAGCAACATTTTTTTGTCAGGTGGAAAGATTTTGAAAAGTAAATAAATAATGTTAAAAAAAATATTCTTTGATATATATATATATATATACATTTGAACTGTATCATTATTTTGTAACTTTCTTGATTGATTACTCTTAAATATTTGTGGTTTGACATTGTAATTCTATTACTTGTATCATTTTCAGTGTTGTTTTTTTTTTGGGGGGGGGGGGTTTCACTGACTTGTTTGCCAGTTGTTTGTACTTACTTAGCCATGGGTGTTTCTCGTTCCTTCAGTTGTTCATGTTGTTGTCTATTATGAAGCAAGAACATGATAGAATATAATAATACAGAAAGTGAAAGTATATTTTTAACTAAAATTGAAGTTCTGTTAATTCTGACTGATAATTTCTTGAAGCTTCGGTTGCCAGGGTATTTGTCATACTTGTGTGGCAAGGCTCACCATGTGTGTAGGCTGCTACTTTGCTCCACTGTTAAAAAGGTACAGCTGTCAGTGGTTAGTATTTGTGACAGCTTGGTTTAATGTCAGACTCTGCCAGAATACCTGGAGCTGGTGTGTAGAAAAGTAGACTTAGACTATTAGACTTATTATTTCAGGTCCACTTCATGTGATAATGTATTTAATGAGGCAGCAGTCTAACAAGACAGTATAACAGTGTAATTCAGTGACTGTTTTGTAGACAGAACATTCTGTTTGTCTCTGCTGTGGTGAATTCAGAGCCACCAGAAATGCAGTAACTTGGTTAGTTTTATTTGTGTTTGTTAATTATCAAGCCCCAACTCTTTCCCTAATTAGAAGTGTCTTACAGGGGACTTTATCTTTACTGCAGATATGTATCAAAATCATCAAAAAACTGCTTATCCTGTTTTTGGGTTTTTGAAAATGAGCGGGCACAGTTGGCTGTCTGAGACTTCCATATGCTAAGAAAAATGCTAATTGCAGTAATGATTCTAGCCTGAGAACTGCCACAGTGTGGCAGATATAAAAGCGAGTCGACAACCTGTGACGGCCCCCCATCTTTTTTCACCACATTAAAACACATAGTCTGCGCCCCCTATCCCTCCCCTCCTCCTCCTCCTCTCCAAAACCAAAGACCATCAGTGGTTGGATTCATGTTGTTCATAGAAGAACACAGTTTGAATAAAGCAGCACTGGGAATCCTGGCCCCCTCAACCCCTTCCCCCCTCTTGACTGACCGGGTTGGGATGCTTGGCTGAACCTGAAAAGCCATGGGTCAGGTCTTTAACCCTGCCCAGTAGTGAGTACAGAAAAGAACAAGGCTGTCTCAATCACCACATCGCTAGGCTGACCTGTTGCAAAGTTTCTGGTTACAATGTGAATCTCTGCATTCTCTGTGGCTGATATATTCCCCCACTCCCTCCCTCTCTCTGTTCATCCTATTCCACTGGGTATCAGCCATGACCAATTGGACAATGCCTGCCAGCAGCTGCAGACTTAAGATGTCTTCTGTACATTTTTTTTTAAACTGGTGTTGTCTACATTCTGTTCCAATCATTTCTTTTGTTATTTCAGCTACAAATTTTTATTTGTTTATTTTAGAGAATTTTTATATATATATTTGAGAATTGCTGAGGTGGTTTATGTTAAGATCAAGCTGTAAAATTAGGGAAATGCAATTTAAAACTTGGTTTTGAGGTCAGAGTGCAGTATTACATATTTTTATATTTCTGTTGTCAGTGTGACAAGTATGAATTAGATAGTGACTGATATGCAGCCCACTGAAAGTAAATCTAAACCAGCAGTCCCTTCACAGACATTTTCAAGTTTGTGAAATGTTATTTTTATTAACAAGAATTTCATCTGACAAAATCAGCATACATAAAGTTTAAAGCCAAAGCTCAACCATAATTCCATGTCTACATGTATATACATATCTTTTAAAAAAAAAAAAAACTTACTTGGGACAATATCGTCTATACAGGAAGAAGATTTTCCTTTAGATATTTTGACCAGTGCTGAATTGCTGAGTGAGGCAGTGTTACTAATGGAGGTGGGTAGGTATTGTGAGTCAGATGCAATTTGAGATGGACTGGCCTTTATTTTTCCAATTAAATAAGCAGCAAGTTTCTCTGCCATGTCGTCATCAGGTATAAGATCTGTACAATGGTAGACCATTTAGAACAGTATTTAATTCAGTGAATGAAGCATTTGGGTTCTGACTTTTTTTTTTTTACATATTGTGCCTGAAAAACGTCATTTACTTTCATCATTCACTGCTTTCTGGTAGCTTTCCATGCATTTCTTAAAAGTATTTCGGGTAGTTGTGCTCCTCGTTTGTTTCTGTTTTCGTTGTAGTTTTCAACATTTTTGTTTCAAATGATCATTTGGTGAGGGGAGAGAATTGGACCTGCATTTTCTGAGTTCAAGTGGGGCAATACAGTCAAGAATGGAGAAATAGTTACAGTTTGTGAAGTTAATCGTTCATCTGGATTCTGGGGAGATGTACCAAGAAAAGTTCACCTGGAAAAGCTTCGCTGAATTCGGCTGTAGAGGCAGCAGTGAAAGTGTCAGACCATGTGATGGGGTGAAGTTTTAAAGCAGCAGAGGGAAGTGGTGCTTTGCAAATAACAGCTTGTGGTCTAACACATGGATACCAACTAACGAAAGGTTGTCTGGTTTAAAGCCAAAAGAACCGCATAGAGAATATAACCTTTGGAATAACTAGCTGCTGTAACAATCTGAAAGAGGTCAGATGACACATCTAGATTGAGAAGCTTACAAGATATGGGGCTGACCAACTGACATGAAAGTTAAAACCTTCCAGACAAACACATGAATCCATTTTTCATACCCACTTTATCCTGTGCAGGGTAGCGGAG